AACAGACAAGAAGTACGAAGCTTAGGTATTTTCACTGATATCATTCCCGAACAGGTTATTCTTTTCATTGGCTAAAGGTTGATATCTAACTGCACAGAAAGATAAACAAGTTTTTTAGTTCAACAAAATTTTCCAGACCTGTACTGTGGAAGTGCCCAGAGTCATTTCAGCAGCATAACGTACAAAGTAGCACTGATTGAATGAATCTAAATCCTTAAATTCTCCACCGTATTTTAGAAACCACAAAACAACACCAGTCACAGTTTTGTTTGCATATAAATTCTGTCGGGCTATCACAGGTACAATATTGCATTTCTTTTGTCAATTGTAAGATATACATTATTTTTAATCAACCCTTTGGGGCATGGTATGATACACCTGCTTAGTAGGTGAGACTTACCCCAGGTTTTCTGGTTCAGCGTGTTGGATAAGAAATCATGGAATCCCTACAGTGTGGGAAGAAATCATTTGGCTCATTGAGCCAACACTGATCCCCTGAAGAGCATCCCACCCAGACCCAGCCCTCTACCGTATCCTGTAACCCCACATTTACCAAGGCTAATTCATCTAGCCTACACATCCCTAAACACTATGGACAATTTCAGTATGGCATCTTTGGACTGTGGGAGGAAACCAGAGCACCTGGAGAAAACCCACACAGACACGGGGAGAACGTGCAAATTCCACACAGTCAGTCGCCCGAGGCTGGAATCAAACCCAGGTCCCCAGTGCTGTGAGGCAGCAGTGCTAACCACTGAGCCAATATGCCACCGCAATGAAATATGGGATTTTACAGTGGACTAGAATAAGTTAACTGTAAGCTAGACAGAAGACATTGTGGAAAGCGGCTCTCTGAGGTAAATAGGTTACTATACTCAAGTTCCATCTGCAGTTAGAAAGAATGAACAGAATGACATTCCAGCTACAATGAAGACCAATCGGGGGCTAAGTTACGGTTGAGACCATAAAAGGGAGAAGGATTTGGAGAAATCAAAGGAATTCGACAATTGCTATCTATTTATGGTAAAACTATTTGGAATTGGACAAGTTTCACAAGCAATTTCAAGTAAGGAAATTGGAATGCCAACTTGGCAGATCTGAACTGTATAAAAAGCAGCCCAGGAAACTGCTGATTTTAACAGTAACTCCAAGATTAACAACTGTGGAGAAGTACCCTATTTCAGGAGATGTGGTGAAGACGCCGAGAGAAGAGTTCCAGCCTCTCCCTGATAATAACATTTGGGGTTGGCTACAGAACCCAGGATAATAAAGGACAGTTTTTGAGATATCTCTAGTAGTTAAATGTGTGTATCTTTTACCAAAATACTTAATAAATTAAGTTTTGTAGAGCTCTAAGTGTCTCCGCTTTCATTTACGTACATACTGTTGTCCCACAGAGATGGGCAACAAGTAGGGACAATACCGTTGCGCTATCAGAGCCCTAGGTATATACGATATGCTTATATTCTATAATTATCTAATTGTCTTATTTATAATGAATATAGAACTAAAAATACTTCTCAGAAGATCAAAAGAAAACATTTTCATGTTTGCAAATGACAATACAAAATAATTGCATAAAAGCTATCACAATTATCCATCAATGTTGTTAAATTCTTTGGATATTATAATTATACCAAAGGAAATACAATCTTGCATACTATACTTACGCAAAGCTTTTAATTCGTTGCCTAAAATTAACCAAACAATATCTCACCACATTCACCACAAATAATGGAGTTAGAATCAATTAATCCTAGGGTTGCATAGCTCACAATGATCTCTCCTAACACAGCCAATTTTGGAAAGAATAAATCTAACGTATTATTACTACAGCTATAGTACGAAACTGAATTGAAATCCTAGTAAGGAAACTACAGTTCAGATTTACACATTGCCCCGTAGTGAAGTAGTGTTACTATTGTAGAATGACTAGTAATAAAAACAATAATAGATGGATTTTCAATTTTTAAATATTGGCCACTGCAATTAACAATTAAGATAATTGTTACTGTAAACCTCAAAACAGAAGTTCAACACAAAACAAGTCTCTACAGAATGCCAAACTATTCCTATGTATTGATCTCTTTGAAAATGTAGCTAGTTTTATAGGCTATCTGAATAAGAGAGATATGGGAAGTGTATAATTTCCCCATTGATATAATTTTAATATTTTAGAATAAGATTCCAAAATTATCAATTCAGGATTAAATAGCTGGACTAAAATACTGAAGATGCAGAACTGACCCAGATTGCTAGGCTATGGATTCTAACAATAGCTAATAACTGTTTACTATAGTAATCCTCAGTTATAAATCATTTTTTAGATAATTCAAACTTGGTTTTGCAGAAAAAAGACACATTTTGTTGAAGCTTTTCATCTTGCACTCATCAGGACAATTGTCATTTTCCCTTCATACAGTATAAGTGTTAGTTTTCCCTTTAATGATATTCTTGCAAATTATCCTGATGAGTGCAAGGCAAAGAAATTCAACAATATGTGCTGTTTTTCAACATTACTTCTCAGCTACTACAAGGTATCTTAAACCATTTAATTGGGCAGAAGTTAAAAATGGAAATGGAGTGAAGAAGAGAGAGATGAAGATAAAAACAAACATATTTCAAAAGAAAGTTACAAAAGACAGCATCATAATGATGAAAAGAGTAGCCAATCATTAATGGTGGCTCAGAGGATGTGGACATTAGTGAGTGAGCAGAGAAACAAATGCCGCACCTTTCAAAGCGGATGTAAGGCTCGAAAAGAGCACAGAAACATGGCAGGATTGGTGAATGAAGTGATGCAAAGGCAAACATAAAGTTGAGGTGGTTTGGGAACCTATTCAATCCTAATGAAGACATGGGTGATAGAAATCCAGGACTTTGTGCTATTAAGGATACAGTCTATATGGCGTATTGAGGGGCTTGACGGCCTATTCCAGTTCTTATGTTCTATTAGTTTTTAAACAACAATGAGGTGAGATAATAATACTTTATCTATGGAACAAGTGTTGTTGGGTAAATCCAACTTATATTCAATCAAATTTGCACACACCTGGTTGGCACAAGTTACTCTATTTCAGAAGTACAGGTATGACCTCTGATTATTGATAAAAATATTGAAAACATTGTGCTGTCAAAGGCCTTCTTTTCCTGCAGTTTTTACGTAGGTGTGTTACACAAGTTAGTTGTAACAGCATGTAGTTTTATCCACCTCTTTCCTTCAGGTTTGAAGTACTCCACAACACGATCATCTGACTGCTTCAGATGGTCAGATGATCTACGGTACTTTTCTAAGCAACAGTTCTTTCTTATAATGCCCAGTGACATCAAGTTTAATGTATGATAATTACTGCAATGGCATGATTTCAGAGACTATTGATACCTGAACTTTTAAAATGATAGCATGCTCGTTAGTTATTTTGGATGACAACTCTAAGGACAAAAGGGGTCTCAGAGGTGTTGATAATCTCCCAAAATCATCTAACTTTTAAAGTGGCATTGTTATTCAAAAATTGATTCATCCCAATGTAAACACGTTACTAGATAGAGAACCACAATTTCTTATCTGGCTACTTACACAACTGATAGCATTGGGGTTCCACTGTAATGACCATCTTTGCTTGCTGTAAGTTATGTAAGTTGTGCAGCAACTAGTAGACTTTGTAATAGTTTTAGTTGACAACATAAGTATCATGGAATACTACACCATATCCAAACGTTAAGTAAATGTGTCAATGCAAGACACAAAAAGACCAGAAAAAGCAGAATCATTCTTTTAGGGAATGTTATCACCTTCTTGCCTTCTTTCCTGCCTTCTCTGTCATAGTTCGATATGAAAAGTTGCCTGGGTTTTGCAATCATAATGACAGAGAAACTGACAGCAACTTCTGGAGTCTGCATGAGTCCAGTCAATATAGAAATGATTCTCCAGAGGATGTTCCAATGAGATCCCCTCACGTTGTGATCAAATGGAAATCTAAGAATGATGCGAATTTCCACTGTTACAGTCACAATCTCATACTAAAAAGTTGTAAATCTAAAGCCTCTTGAATGAGTTGTGACTGTCATTTTTAGCAACACACTAACACCATATTTACTAATGAACATTCCCTTTAGCTCTGAAACAATAACTTTATATTTGTTGAATGTCTAATTTCCCATTATGATGATTGTCACAGCTCAATGAGGTGGTGCACTGGAAATCAAGCCCCACTGCTTCCAGAAGTGTCACAAATGTGAAACATTTTCATCAAACTATTCAAATTCCCAGTATATCCAACTGACAAACTCAGGTTAAAAGAAGACGCTCATCAGGTTTCTGTACTTGACAAGAAACAACTGTTTATTCCAAACTGTTTTAATTAATGGCAAAAAAGAAACACAACTTGCTAAATTACATTCCTCTGTTACTTAAACTCTACCCCTTTCTAAATTCCCCTCTTCACAATGAGACACACAAGGATAGACGAGACATAGCTATTAAGGGTGAGAAACAAAAATCAGGAAAACATAGTTTGATAGCACTAATCTGAATCACAGAAATAATCTGAGATAAC